TTTTATATGAATTCCATGTTGTACGAGTCACTTAGATTTTACAAATACGTGAGCCGTTCACAGCCCAGCATACGTATTTGTAAAATCTAAGTGACTCGTACAACATGGAATTCATATAAAACGGAATAATCAACAGTGTTATAGGGGGGTCAACTGTATTAATAAAATATCTTCAACTTACAAGTTTGAATTTCAATTTTTTAAAATTTAAATCAAACATAAATTGAGAATGAATTACCAATAACCAAAAAACATATTTGTAAAGGTTACTCTTACTGAATTTTTTTTAATGATAACAATTATATGTCCAGAGCTATTGAGAAGAGGATTTTTCCCCAGTGCCATAAAAAAAAACTTAGGGAGCTTATAGTGGTTCCTACCTCTAAATTACAGTTATTTTTACTAACGAGAAGCAAAATCTTTAAGATTGCTATTTATTAAAAATCATCCTACAGATTTCATTTGTTCAAAATAAAAAATAAAAAGGGAGATCCCACTTTGCCCTGGGCCCCAAATCAAGCTTTTGACAGCCCTATATATATATATATATATATCATATATATTTATATACATATATAGTTAATGTATATATACATTTTTTTTTCATTGGAATAACATCATTTCCCTTTACAGGGATCAGTCTTCCTTGTCTTACTATCTGCATCACAAGGGGAACGTCTTCTTTATTATATTATTTATTATCCTTAATACTTATACAATTTTTAGTACAAACAACAAATATAAATATAACAATATGTATATAGGTAACTTTTTCTTACAGACTTGTGGCTACTTGCCACAATAGTGAGGGAGCAGCTCGCTTTCTACCCTCACGACAGAACCGGTCGTGTGAAGTACATTAGAGGTGTGTATAGTTCTTTATGACGAATCATCAAGTAAAGGTCTATGTTAGTTATGTTAAGAATTTCTCTTGCCAATAGATGCAATTGCATCCTCTCACAATCATGTTTCGGGCAATTGTTCATTAGATGGTCTAAGTCTTGTACATCCTCACTGCATTCACAGTTAGAATCTTGTTCTCTTCCTACTCGTTGTAGGTGTTCTTTAGTGTTGCAATTATTCGAATGTAGCTTTGCGTAAAGGTAGTTTATCAGTAACCACTTTAATTCTTTTAATCTTTCCTCCACATTCGGGAAGATCCTGTATGTCAACCTTTGTCGCTGTAGCTCTGTCAATCTTGCCAGTCTTCTAGGGTCTTTTGTCATAGAAGATATCTGATGTAAGAGAATGGAATCTTATCATATGAAATATCTTGCATGTCTGTGGCTTCTTTCGACAGAGTATCCTCATGCTCATTTCCTTCTATGCCCACATGGGCTTTGACCCATCTTACTTTGATGTTAGCTTGATTATTTTTAATTATTCTTTTAATTTCCATTGCTATCTGACTACTATCCTTGTACTGTTGCAGAGTTTGTATTGTGGCTCTGCTATCTGTATGTATAATTCTTAATCCAGCATAATTGGTGGTAATGTTCCACTTTACCACCATTAAAATGGCATATAATTCAGCTTGGAAGACCGAGTATCGATCATCCAGCCTGTATTGCCCAAAGTGTATTTCCGTTCCTTCTTTTCTCACTGTGTAGGATGCCCCTACTCTGTTTTCCACCTTTGAACCATCGGTGAAGATGTCTTCATCTGCTATTTCATTGTTGTTGGCCATTTTTATGGCTACTCTTTTGTAGATTCTTGGTAATTCAATTGCTCTTGGTTTTAATTTGATATCTTGGTTATCGTAGGTGACTCCTTCGATGGAGATAGGGAGTCCAGCTCTACACATGTACTGTAGTGCATTCTCTTTAATAATTAGATCAATGAGTGGTACACCTGCTATTATTTGTAATGCTTTGGTAGATGTTGTCCGAAACGCTTTCGTCAGCCTAAGAAATGCTGTTCTTTGAGCACTAAGTAGTTTTCTTTTAATACATCTTTTATTAACCACTGAGTACTGTGAGAACTGAGGAGGTATGACTACGTCGTACCTCCGTGGATCAGCTTTCAAGTTGGAGGGACTTGCTCACTTGTCAGAGATGGCTTAATTTTTTTTAGTTTATCTCGAGGGAACGGGACTAATTTTTTTCGGGTCTGGTCGAGTGTAGGAGGGAGGAGTGCCGTCGGTAAGGTGACAGGCGATATACGAGTAAAAGAGGACACCAATTTAACAAGGAAACAACAATTTATTAACTACCTATATAGACGGTACAATAAATGTTATCAAGGGAAAATTCTGAGTCCCTAAAACAGGAAGGGCCAAGAGAGAGTTCACAAAAATTTGCTCCATACCTCTTAATGTCGATAGTTATCCTTGAGGAAAATATTATTTTATCCAACACAGTAGGACCAGGACACAATATTCAAGAAAATTGTAGGTGACGGTTGATGAACGACTCCCCCGAGAGGGGGAAGCAAGTGGCTTTTATAGTTTCGTCATGGGAGAATGGTCATGTGATTAATTGTTGTGAGGTAAAAGGTACGCGGATGGGTCAAAGTTGTCCCCGAGACCATGCTAACTATCAACTTTGGAGTTGGAATGTGGGATTATTTTCGAAGTGGACGGATGTTTACTTTGAATGAAAGAGAAGATTGGAATTTTTCCCTTTTTAAGTTAGGTTTTAGTTTAGGTTTAAAGAAAAGTTTAATTGAGGGTTTAGGAAAATATGGTATATTAATCGGAAAAATTGGTAAAAATTCTGGATTTCACAGTACCAAGCACTTGCAGCATATGTTATTTTTGGGATGAACACACACTGATAGATAGTTTGTATAGCTGCTGCATTCAGACCCCATTTTGACTTGGACACTCTTGCTAATGCGTTAAAGATGGTTGTGCAATTATTTCTTACCATCATGGCATGGGGAAGCCATGTGAGTCAATGGTCTAAACTACTCCTAAGTAGGTAATTTCTTTGCTGACTTTTATACTTTGTCCATCCATCTTAATAGTCGGTATTCTTTTGTAAAGGTCTGAAGTAATTCCTTTGGTGAATATTATATCTTTTGTCTTTTTTGGATTGAAGCTGAGTTTTAGCTCCTTTCTGAGACTTTCTTAAGTACTCTGTCACCCATTTCTTCTATCTGTCTTCTTGAGTTAGAACCAAAGATGAGGATTGTATCGTCTGCGTAAGCAAACTTATGTACTCCTTCTCCTTTATCAGTCTTTAGAAAATTATCATATGTAATATTCCAAAATAGTGGCCCTGAATTGGAGCCTTGTGGGCAACCTCAATTGAGATTTTTTTGTGATTGTAGAACCACCCACACTGTATGAAATTCTCCTGTTCTGTAGATAATCCTGTACTACATTATAAATGTTCAAAGGACAGTCAGCTGTACGAAGAGTATGAAGTAAAAGAGGCCACCATGTGTGGTCAAAGGACCCCTTTATGTCTAAACTGATAGCACAGCTGTATTTATTGCCTTGTAGTGTAGAATTGATCACTTCTACTACTCGCCGTATTATGTCTTCAGTTGACTTGTTTGGGAGGAACCCAAATTGTTTTGGGCTTAAAAAGGCTCCATCTTGTAGGTGGTACATAATTCATTGACATATTAAAAAGTCTAGTACTTTTCCTCCAAGTGTTGGTAACAAGCTCGGGCCTATAGCTCTTCACTAAGTTTTTGTCATGTGTGTTGCTTTTAGGAATAACAACTAACTTTGCATCTTTCCAGATAGTTGGGAAAATCCCAAAGGATAGGCATAGGTTATATACTTCTGTCAGATATTCAGGATCTATGTCCGATACTTTATGAATGATTTTGGCCACAATGCCATCTTGACCTGGCGCTTTCCCTGGCCATAGCCTTGTCTACTTCCTGTGTAGTAAATACAGGGGCATTAAGACCCAGGTAGGGACTGATAGTTATATTCCTAATTTTCCTTTGCTCTGGTGAGTCTGATGTCAGATCATCCTCAGGGAAGAATACTTTCATTAATGTATCCACTGTGTCTTCTATTCCTTCTTTATAGCTGTCATTTTCTTTTATTGCCATTAGGTATTGTGGTACTTTTAACTTTCCCGCACATGCTTTGTATAGATAACTCCATGGTTTATTGGAACTCTGTGTGCAGAATTCTTTCCAGGACCTGAGCTTGCTTTCTTTAATTTCACTTTTATATTTCTTGGTATGTTCATTATATTCTCTCTTTCTCCTATTTCTTTCTTCTTCATTTCTTATCCTTTGAAAGCATTGTCGCAGTCTGTTATTTTCCTGCCGTAATTCACTCAAAGCTTTTGTCCATCAAGGTACACTCTTTTTGTGTTTTCTCTTTTTCGGTATTGTTTCATTACATACTCTAATCAAGTTGTTATGAAAGTTTGTAATTTCATTCTCTGCTTCTTCACTAGTCTTGATTTCCATGATGTTTCTCTTGTTCATTATTTCTCTCATTTGGGCATTAAACTGTGACCCGTTGGCCCTATTTATAGTGTATTGGTCCGAATCCTCTTTGTTAACCCAGTCGCTATGTCCCGCTTCCATGAATATGTAGTTGTGGTCACTCAGGCTTGATACTGGTGCCACTCTCCAGTTTTCTATTATGTTTAGTGCTTTACTGTTGCAGACTGTTATATCTATCCAACTCCGTCAGATGGTTGTATCTAACGTTGGCAATGAGTTCGGGTCGTTAAGCAGGTGTAAGTCATTTGAGCCAATAAAGTCTAGGAATTGCTCAGCTCTTCCATTATTGTTTGGGTCTCCCCATAACTCAGAGTGAGCATTGATGACAAGGCTATTTTTGCCTACGCCTATTTCCAGGCACGTTAAGTATCTGTTACTTCTTTGTTCATAGAATAGCACAAGAATATTAGGGTTATTGATGATTATTAAAGTTCTTGGATTTTTGTCAGAGTTACTCATTACTCCTCTCTGGCAATATAGTTCCTGCGCCAGAGTAATGTCAGCTTTTTCCATTCTTTTACATAATGCTGAAGTTGCTGCTATTGATTTCTGGGCATTAATCTGTAAAATTTTTAGCTTCTTAATCTGTTCATGTTGATTGATGTGTTCCATAATCAGTTTTGGCTATTATCATTCTACAAACTTTTTGTAGCAGCAGGCACTTCTTATCACAAGCATTGTGATTTACTTCTTTTAGGCCTTCTCTCTTACAATTACAACATTCTGCTTTCCCTTTGCTCGGGCACTCCTTGTATTCGTCTACAGCCAATGTGGACGAGAGTACACATTGGCTGTAGACGATCCTTTTCTCTGAACAATCTTTAGCCATATGTCCTATTCTGCAGCATTTGAAACACTGCATAATATTTATGTATTCATCTATACCACACCTGGATCATCCCAGGTTAATCTTCTTCTGTGATAGGAGAAGTTGCTGTATTCTTGGGCTTACTTCGGCAACCCAGTTTGTCATTCTTTTCTCTTTGTTACCGTAGTTGAACTGTAGAGTTATTTCAGTTTGATATTCTTCTATGGTCAAATTGGCATTTATCTCTTCATTCTGTTCGTAGATGCATTGTAGCACTTCTTCTTTAGGGTTTTCCTTTGCTACCCCATATATCACATGTCTGGGATGTCTTTTAATTGGTTCTCTTGTTCGCAGTCCAGTTTTTCTTCAATCTCTTTACGTAGTTTTTCCTTGTCTTCTGTTCCAACTTCAATTGCTATTCCTCCCCGTTGCAGCTTCCTCACTGCCTGTACTCCAACCCCAATCTCTTGGGATTGATATTTTTTTTCAATTGTTCTTTTGTTCTTTCTGCATCTTCGCCTTCTTTAGCTGGCTCCACTAGAAGTATTTCCTGAGGTCTTTTCTTCTTAGCTACCATCTGTGCATAGCTTGGTTGAGGTATGGGAGCATTGCTGAGTGCTTTATCCAACTTCTCGTTGATAAGTTCCATCATTTTGAGTGGTTTCGATTCACTTGTTTTCAGTAGATCAATCAACTCGTTGATCTTCTCTGTGACAAAGGACATATGTTCTTTCATACCTAATCTACAGTTGTTATTCTCTAACATATATTCCTCTACTTTTTTGTGGATCCTTTCTGCTATTTGCACTAGGTTACACTGGAGAGAACAGTCCATCTCCACGGGCAACAGCTTGTTGTCCGATTCTGAAGGGTGTGGTCATTTGGCCATAGTCCTTAAAAGGACTCCTTGATCCATGTTAAACTAGTCATGATAAACTGATTAGTTTATCATGACTAGTTTAACATGAGTTAGTAGCCCCACAAGGGGCTACTAATGGGTGAGACCTCGTGAAGGTTCAGTTATCGCTTCCCTGTGGAATTGTTATGGTGCAAACACAGAGCACAAATCACAAGGCTGAAACATGCCTAGAAAAATGCACAATAAGCTCACAAAATAAATGCAAACAACTCAATAGGGCATCCTGCCCAACATATATATACAGTATATATCACATATAACATATATATGTTATATATATATATATATATATACAATTATGCTGTTAATATATATGTGTTCTAAGTTTTCAGATAATCAATGCTCTACTGTATATCACACACATACATATATATATATACAGTTGAGTTTTCTGTGGTTCCGGTTGACTTAAATAACCATTAATGTTAAAAAACTCTGATTTACTCAACATTGTTTAACTCGTGACCACTGGATAAATCAACATACTTTTTTTGACCCACACTTGTTTAGACATCTGATTCACACCACACAGTTTGTGTGGTGTGAATTCATTTTTTCCAGGAGGTTTTATATATATATCACATATATATTAACAGCATAATTGTACTGTGTGTTTTCTAGTTAATTAAAAATATATATTATTAGATGTAAATATATATTTGAATAAATTTTATTATTATTTCTTTATAATGTTTTGTATAATTTAATATTCAAGTTTAATTTTTTCTTACAATTTCAGAATTTCATGCTTTCTGTAAAAATTCCAGGATTAGAAGAAGATACACAAAATTTAAAAATTAGACTTTTACCTGGTAAGTATTTTCATTGAATGTCATTTTTTTGTGATAGTGATTGTTTGAAAAATCAAAATGGAAATTAATCTTGTTAACATTATGTAGAATTTGAATGATGAAAATGCCAAATTTTATTGAAAATTAATAAATGAATTGGATTTTCACATGAAATTAAAAACAATTTTTGTTTATCTAGCAATATTATATATGGAAATATTGATATACAGTGTTTTCCAAAAGAAATATGTAATTGGATATTATGTGAAGAAGCTTGTAAGCAAAGCATTTGGTAAGTATATAGGTTATTGGTTATGTGATGCCTCATTTTGGGTCTGCAATATTGCCATATGGAAATTAATTGCACAAAATTCATGTGTGTTGTCTAATCACTTTCAACTAATGTAAGTCCAACTGCATAGTTCTGTAACTAACTGGTATGTTGTAAGGATTGAATTTATTTTTGTTGTTGATTTTAGTTTTATTTAAATAAAGCTAAAAATAACTAAAAATCCAGTAATTTTTTGTGTTCTTGTCATCATCTGCTTATTAAATATTAAAAAGAACAAGTTCAATACTCACAATATACTAGTTAGTTACAGAACTATGCAGTTGAGCCTACATTAGTTGAAAGTGATTCGATCATGCATGTGAATTTTGTACAATTAATTTCCATATGGCAGTATTACAAACCTAGAATGATTTATCATGTAACCAATACACTATACACTTGCCCCTGATACTTTGTTTACAAGCTTCTCCACATAATTTCCAATGGCATATTTTTTTTGGAAAACACTATACTGTAAGGTTGAATATTGTTGCAGCAACTATCACATTTTTCAAACTGCTTTTGATTGCTATTTGATAGAAAGCTATTTTTGATGTTTAACTTGGTTACAAATTTAAGAAACAGTTTAACTTTGATATAATCCTTAATCCTTATATAAGAACTGAATGATAAATGAAAATATGTACTAATATTATAGCTATGTTTAAAATCTTACAATTTCTGAATGAATCAACTTTATTCAATCCTTACATATGGATAGCTATATAGTCTATAAAAATTAAAATTTCAGTTTTTGTAAATAATGATATTACATACAGAGAGATCTGACAGATTGTATAATTACTTTTTAATTTCTCTGAAAAAAATAAAATAATTATGCATTATTGTTTGAAGATTTTAACCAGAAATTAGTCTTTTTTGATTCTGAGATTTCCCTTTTTTTTATTATTATTATTTATTCAAAATAGAGAATTGTCTTATAATAAGTGATGTCTTAAAGAATGTGAACACAGTATGATCTCCTTGAAAATCATAGCAATTTATGTCAGTCAACATTTGTATACCACAAAAGTTGAAAAGATCTGACTAAATTAATTCAAAAAAATTGTACTCTATTTTCAATTGCAGCCAATGAAAATCAGACATGATTCAAAACTGAACATTCAGAATTAGTATACAGGTATACCTCGCCTTACGTCGGTAATTGGTTCCAGGAAAGCGACGTAAGTCGAAAAATGACGTAAGTCGAATTTACTTGTCTCCGAATCTACTTGTCACTAGGCTAAACCATAAATTACCATTCCCAGTTCTGTATTTTATTTATTAAGCTTACAAACAATTTTATTAAATTTTAGTTTTTAATATAGTACAAAAAAAGTAATCTAAATTTACGAATGCATGTACTGTAAATACAGGATTAAGTAACAGGATTAGAGGGCTGTTTGTGTCTTACAACAAACTTAACCCTTTTATGAAGTAGGAAAGAAGGAATGAGGAAAGTAAGAATAAGGTGGAAGGAGAAACAAAGGGAGATAGGAAAGTGTGAATAAGAGAGCAGTCAGGGAGTCCCCATGGGATCCATGAGCATCTGCATTGGCACAATTTATTTACTAATTGACAAAATACAGAAAATACAGAATAACATATATGTACAATGAGAACACGTGAACGAAGTCATTGCTACTTGCAATGCAAACCGCGTATACAATTCCAACTTGGGACTAAGTATGTAGACTTATATCAGTTGCTAGCAGTACAAATGATGATAAATAGATACAGTTGTTATAATAATTGTCACTGGTTGTTGTCACTAATAATTGTCACTGTCGTCACTGTCGCTGTCGTATTCGTTGTCGTTCCCTTGTGTGTCCGAGTCTTCTGAATCTCCGTGTATAATAGTTTGTTGGTTTGAATCATTGTTTTGAAGTTCAATAGTTCTGTGATGGTCGGGTAACAATGCTTTAGTTTTTATAATAAAATCTTCCAGTTTTTCCCAGACTTCTTTTCTGTTGAAGATGTCCTGGGCTTTGGGTTTCCAGCCAATTCCTTGTAGTATACATTCACTATAGAAGGGTATCCTATATTGTTCGTGACTACTGCAATCGAAGATGAAGTGATTGGCATCACCCTCGCTAACACCATCACAATGACACTTCCCATTTAATGTCTTTTTAAACCTACAGAGGTAAGCAGAGAAGTTTCCATGGTTCGTTAAAACCTGAGTAGTCTCATGTTTAATTTTATAATGTTTGTTTTTTAATCTGTCTTTGATTGAGGGAATAAAGTTGAAACAGTGTCTCCCGGTGGTCGAAGTTTCCCACTCTCTTTGCCATGTACTAATTTCCCATTGTCTTAGATAGTATTTAAGTGCAGAGTTCGGAAATCTGTTGTATGTAATTTTAGAATCGGAGTTGCAGGCTTGTTTCGCTAAGAGGTCGGCAATCTCATTTCCCTCATTGCCTTGGTGCGCTGGGATCCAATTGAATTTTAGGACTTTATTAGTTGCCACTTTATGGGCTTCCTTGATCATTTCGCTGCCAAGTAGGGATATGTTCATGTCTTTTTTCAGTGTGTGCAGTGCCATTCTACTGTCGACGAAGAACTTTATGTTTCCATTATATTTTTCCTGATTTTCCTTTATGTGTTTTAGTGCACTGTACATCGCCCAGTATTCTGCTTGGGTATTTGAGCAGTGTTTAGATATTTTGAGGCTGGCCTGATAGCCAATGTTGTTAGTTCCTTGTTTTTTAATGTATATACCTGCTCCTGCACCTTCTGTTTGTTTGGATCCATCAGTAAACACTATCCACTGAAATCTGTTGTTATCTTTATTATCATAATCAAGATCTACTCTGTACAATTTCTTTTCCGCAGGGTGTATATCAACATTTATACTGTTGTCTATTTTATTGATTTCTGTATTATTTATAATCTCAGGGACTTCTGTAATATTTTTAGGTATAATTTTATTTTTTATTTTTCTTTTAATTTCTTCTGATGTCAATTCCCATATCTTTTCATTCTTAGCAATCCAGCTCCATGCTGACGAAATTGCTGTAATGTGTATTGGTGTGATTCCCGCTATAGCTAATAGCGCATCTGACGGCGATGTTCTATATGCCTTCGTGATTTTTATTGTTGCCATCCTTTGGACCGACATCAATTTTTTCCGTATGTGGGTGTTGTTAACGGCATCCTGCCACACGGGAACAGCATACAAAATTGCTGGTTCAATTGCAGTCTTATAAATAAGTTTACAGTTTTTCGGATTCAGTCCCCAATATTTTCCCATTATCCAATTGATTTGATTGACTCTTTGCTTGGTTTTGTTAGTGATTTCTTGGATATGGAAATGCCTACTTAAATTGGGGTCCAAATGTACTCACAGATATTTTAGAATCTTTACTTGTTTGATCTTTTTTCCATCCATTCTTAATTTAAGGGTTTTCTGCAATTGCCCACGCTTATTTTTTCTTGTGCACACCAATGCTTGGCACTTGTTGTAATTGATTGGTAGTTGATGTTGGTTACTCCATTGTTGAATTTCGTCTAATATTTTGTTGGCCATATCCGTAAGATGATCACGATTCTGATTCTGTATCATAACCATCAGGTCACCTGCAAATGCCTGGATTGTCATATTATTTCTGTTGTCAAATTTTTGAAGCAGATTGTCGAAGACTAAATTCCACAGGGACGGTCCAGTGCGCGAGCCCTGTGGGCAGCCTCTATTAATATCCTTAATAAGGTGAATGTTGTTTGAGTGGAATTCAATATGCCTATTTTGCAGATAACTTTTAAGTAATTTCACTTCATATTTAGTATCTTGGAGTTCATCAAGTTTATCGATAATATCTTGCCATCTGAGATTGTCGAATGCTTTGGAGTAATCAATAGAAATGAGTAATGCATGTTTGTTCTTTTCCCAGGCATCATAAACAAACTTTTTAACATTAATTATTGCATGCATTGTCGATTTGTTTGACCTAAAGCCAAATTGGTTTGCATGCATTTTACCTTTGCTATTCAATTCCCAGTTGATCCTTCTAATAATTAAGCCTTCCAAAGCCTTCCCCATGGTGGGGAGAAGGCTGATAGGCCTGTAGTCCGAGGCTGATTTCGGATCTTCCTTTTTCATAATTAGCTTAATATTGGCCGATTTCCATGCATCCGGAAAATAACCTTTTTTTAGACATTCATTATATAAGATAGAAAAAACCATTGGGATTTCCATAAATGCGTTGATCAGCATTTCAGTAGTTATTTCATCCAGCCCTGGGGCCTTCTTTTTGCCCATTTTAAAGATAGCTTCCTGTATTTCTATGAAGGTGAAAAGTTTACATTGTATTCCCAGGTCCTGATCTTCTTCGTTATTTCCGTTTATTTGGGTATTTCTCATTCTTCCATTGTTATCAATACTATCCATTGGAAAGTGGTATTCCAGTAGTTTCCTGATGTTGTGCTCTATATCGTAAGTTTCTTCTTCGTTTGTGTTCTCCGTCCAGTTTAAGATGTGTGGTAAATGGAATTTTTTCTTTTTCTTTAGTACTGTTTTATGGGGAAGTTCCCAAGGGCCTTTATCGTTACACTTGTCACAAAAATCTCGCCATGCCTGTGTTTGTGTTGTATTTAAATTCTTTTTGTATTTTTTTCAACTGATCCTTATATTTATCTTTTAAGATACTTTTTTGTTTTTCATTTCTCGCTCTGTGATATTTTTTTCTCAATC